TATATATATTTCTGATATCTACAGACATAATGGCTTTAAAATGTATTAATGTACGAAGAGGTCTTAATAGTGTCTTTAACATTTTCTAAGGCGTACAAGAAAGAAAGCAATGTTCAATTTCATAAATATAACCATCATAATATTTCTCCATAAACCAAAAACATTATAAAGCTATCCAAAAATAGTAGTTAAGGAATACGTTTATAATGTTAAGCTTTACTGCATAAGTACATGACGTACGTGACGTGAGAAATGAGGTTTCAAATTTGTACGAATGCAATAAATCAACACTATAACGGTATTTTTGAAAACGCTATTTTTTGTATAAGAGCATTACTCATTTATAAGATAATCAAACATCATTTTTAGAAACAACTTTCTTGAGTCTTCTCGGGTATTATATTGACATCTGTGCGACAAAACGCTGCTCGGCTGTTCCGGCCACCTCTACCTCCCTCCGCGTCTCTCACTGCGATTGGCTGAACGTGTGATGACGCAATCATTCATACCGTAAACTGGCCGATTATCAACGATTCATTGCAACAGAAAAGGTCGTTTATAATGTTTATATACAAAAAAGTATTTTGTTTTATTATGTTATTTAATTATAACAGTCTTCATACAATTTTTTTTACATTCTAATAACTGATTTTTTGCCATTGTAACACCTCAGGCCAACTTTTAAAAGTTGCGAGGAACACACATGGCATCTGAAAACAGTATGTTCCTGAAACCATTGCTGATTTCACGTGATTCTTGGTGTATATAAGACATGCTGTCTTATTAATATATGAATAAAGTATTAATACCAAATATTCTTTCAAACCGAAATAACGCTTTATCAAACAATATTTTCTGAAGTTATACTTATTTTATCGTCTTTGACATCAGCGCTCCTTTATTTTGGATTCCTTTTGAAGGCGAGTGCCTTCTGAAGGAAATGCATAATGAATGCGTTGAAGACAAAGAAACCACTGCAATGTACGCTTGCAAACTCGAATAAACTCTTGTCAAAGAAGCCTTTGATAATAAACATGATGCACAAGTACTCTAAACCAAATTATTATAAGACGCCGATTTGTAACGTAATATCATTGCACGAAACGAAAATAAAAATATCTTTACCTTATATCATTGAATAATTTCTTGACTATTGCACCAAACATAATCAACACTTCAGTTTTTTTCCTACTTGTAATTTAGGTGAACATTGAATTCTACATTTCTGTCTATGTGTTGTTTGCGTTATATCATATGTAGTAATAACTTTTTTATTTTTATCTCCTATAAAAACTATATCTATTCTGTTTTAATATTGTGTTCTATTTTATTTGTTATATCTTCTTGTATAATTTATCTTCACCCTTTTCGTTATTTTCTGGGGATTGTTACATGTAAATGACTATTAATTAGTTTATTGCTCCAGGTGATCATAATCCACTATTGAAGTATGATTACTTATTGAAAAGTTTCTGAGTGGTATAGAATTTACCTAGATCAGTAGTGTATCAAACAAGACGATCTAAAAAGTATAAAGAATAATACCTTTTCTCTTTGCTACTTTATATTAACATTTGTTGCCCTATAAATTTGTTTTGATTTGTTTTAATATTTTAACATAATTAGATTTTTTCTTTATTTCATGAGCGATGTTTTTATATTTATTGCAAATTGTGTAATGTGCAAAAATGTATTAACACGTATTGTATGTAACACATATTGTATCATTTATTCTGATTTAAAGGGATTTAAAGATAAAAGGTAGTCACACCACAATATACAAACTATATTTAGTAAATTTATCACATTTTAGACGAGCCTAGTTCACGGGCAATTGCCCCATCCTAAATGATCTATACTAGCAACAACAGATTTTTAATCCATATATGGATTAAAAAACTCTAACCTGAATCCTTGTACACTTCTTTGATCACGTTACCTATACACTATTGTGGGTAGTATGAGGAGGAGAAAATTGGTCCCACTGAGAATGAGGTCTTGAAACTAGTCTGGTTTGAAATGTGTTAACTTGACAATATACAATTTACATATTGTGTTGTGATTACCTGTTATTACTCATCTTCAATAATGAGTTACCACATGTTCTCGATTGAAACCACGAAAATGTTTATCTGAGATCGTATTAAGGTGTGTGGCATGTAGTGCATAGACCCATCGCCACTGCACGACAGCAACCGCTACCACTACCCAAATAAAAAAGAATCCAATTTACACTATAATTTACACTAAGTGATTGAAATTTATCATTCATCTTTAACAATGAATTACCCACACAAGTCCTCGGCTGGAACCACGGAAATGTATATTCCGAGTTCTATTTATTTACGTGCTTGTGCGTATGTATATATATATATATATATATATATATATATATATATATATATATATATATATATATATTGCGGTGCGACTATCCTCGGCTGTAACCGCTAACATTTTTATTCCGAGGTCCTGTGCATTTACGTGCATGTGCCGTGTTGGTGCGTGCGCAGACCCGTCGCCGCTGTACGACAACAACCACTACCACGAGGAGTGCCTGCGCTGCAACGCGTGCGGCCTCAACCTGACGGGCCCCAACCAGGCGCGCGCGCGCCGCTTCCGGAACGCCTTCTTCTGCGAGCTGCACTTCGCCGACGTGGCGCTCATGGCCAGCGCAGACTTCATGCAGCAGCTGCGCGCCTTCAAGCCGCAGTCGCTCGGCTGCGCCGTCGCGCGCAGAAAGTCCTCCACCACGCTCATCTTCCCGCTGCCGCCGCAGGCCTGCTCCGGTGAGTCAAACGCGCGCGCCCACCAAGGGAAGTAGCGGGGCAATTCGCGCGGACACTTCTTCGCGCGGACACTTCTTCGCGCGGACACTTCTTCGCGCGGACACTTCTTCGCGCGGACAGTGCACGCGGACAGTACCCGCGGACAGTGCACGCGGTCAGTGCACGCGGACAGTGCACGCGGACAGTGCACGCGGACAGTGCACGCGGACAGTGCACGCGGACAGTGCACGCGGACAGTACCCGCGGACAGTACCCGCGGACAGTACACAAGCGTGCCAAGCGAGGACGCTTCGCGAAGGTGATTCATGCCGTCGCTTCGCGCAGACGCTTCTCTCGGTGACTTCGTCACGCGGCCACTTCTTCACACGGACGCTTAGTTCAGCAGTTCTCACGAACATTGCGCTGCACTTCACTGTTAATACTCGGGCGCTTCACGTTGACACTTCGCTCGAGAACGCGGACACTCCATATGGACTGTTCACTCTATATATCGCACGTCACCGTAATCAGACGTCTCGCCCCGATTCTTCAGCAACACATCTCACTGAATCAATTCATCCTGAATCCTCGTCCTCCCCAGGACAAGTAAAGCGAACACTCACTCTGAGATATCACCCAGTCTCATCGTCTACGCACTCGCCCGGTCACGCCACCGTGATTCTCACTCTACGCCCCCACCCTATTAATTCGCCGGAGCACACCCCCATGTCACTCCCGAATCCATCATCTGGTCACTTCTCCCAAGCTTCTCAGAGTTAATTTAGACAGATTCATAGATCATCCTCATAGTACCTCACCAAAGACAACATGACCAACCTTTGACCAGGGCAATTAAATGAAGTGCCTTGCGTACCTACTTCTGACTCAACCTTGCTTGGACTCACACGTCCACCATCTCATTAGTTTAGCTCACCCGGACTCCTCAACGTGCACCTATTTGCGACTACGTCACCCTTATTTAATTACTCGCTTCAACTACATCAATGGATATCTCAACGCCCTATCGTCTGAATGTCTCACGTGGATGTCCAGTAAAGGAAATCTCACAGAATCTTACCTCCGGCCTACACCAATTACACAATATATTTAATTTTTTAGATTTCAATTTGTAGTTTCCACCTCCCCAGAGAGATAAAAAAGGATTTGCTTATTTCGCCTTTGAAACCTCAGCCTCGCCTTAAATTACTCACATTATCCAAGCACTTTGCCTTCGCCCTTATACCACTTATCACCCCCATCGCTCTTTTCAATGCCAATCAATAAGTTAAATTATCATACTATCACATGCCTCACGGACTTCAAATTTCTTTCGAAAAGTTGATGAAATTAATTTATGGTTTACAAATTCCTTAACCAAATGATTTCAGGATCTGACCTTCTTTGAATATCGAAGCCAAGAATTATTAATATAATAAATTTAATTCCCAACTTCAGTGCAAAGTAACCATAGTCATTCCAAAATAGATGAATGTTAAAAAATCAAACATGACTGTCATCGTCATTTGTGTTATCTCTGTCAAGTGGCATGTGCCACATACGTATTATGTGCAGTAACATGTTTCAGTACCTTAATTATTTTGTATTATTCTGTTATTCTGCGGCTTATTGTTATTGTTAGGATCATACATTTCGTTGTTATTTCTTATATTTCGAAAGTATTGTGGTCATTCTAAAATAATCACTTTAAGGAGCAGTATGGGTAATCGATTCGGGTGAGGTAACCTAATGGGACGCCGAAAGAAGGATACAAAAGGTATGATACATGTAGATTCGGGTGGTCCGTGGTGATAGTTGCCTTGGTAAGAGATCGGGGAGTTGGATGATAGAAGCCTGGTTAGGTGATGGAGGTGTGGTTGGGTGGCTATCTTAGCGGAGTGTGGGTGAACTGCTCAGGTGAGGAACAGGGTGAAATATCCTGGTTGTCGTTCACGGTCATTCATATTGTTATACTATGGTTTTTATACCTTGGCACTTGACGTAAATCTTCTATTGACAGTTTCATCCTATAGGAAGCTTAAACTTTTCCACAATGTCACCGTGACGACGTTGTGCTCGCGATAGGATGACACCGTAGCAGCGCTAGTTTACGTCAATTGCCAGGTTATAAAAACCGTAGTATATCTTCATTCATTTGCTTATTTTTACGAAATAATTTTGTTCAGATACATACATTTCTGCAATAAACCTTTATTTAACTTATCGATAGTGGATTTAGTTGGACTTGCCTGTGCCTACTCAATTTAGCTTCTATGGTTTTTGCTAATCACTGACGTTGTACATACCTAAAGTGCGTCGCAGCCAGGGATTTAATCCCTCTGCCTGCGCAGATCTCGAGTTCCGAATCGTGGGATTGGGCGGGCGTGAGCGCGGTGCCGACTTCCAGCACAAACGAGCAAGAGCGATTGCCGCCCTCTCTATGGAGCGCAGTGGGAACAGCGACATAAAGTGTTTCAAGGTCCTTGCCAAATGTCCTCAAATACGACGCCATAACTCTGCGCTGTAATGAGATCACGTGACGGTTGCTAGGGCAACGATCTCGCTTTCTCACGAGGGGGGAGGTGGCTCGAAGGATTACATCATCTTACCTACCCTCTGGGCTCAGATCGTATCGAGCTACACATATCGCGACTACCAGTGTAGCACATCCCAAACGCTGTGCAATTACTATTCCTGTCATGAGATGTCTTTAGTCCCATTTTTGTGATTCTCTTCACTACAAAAATGGTAGTGAATGAAGATTGTTTTAGGTAAAAGTTAAATAAAATATTATATATTTCAACCAAGTATAAACAAAAAAGTCTTACATTACACCACGTGAGTCATACTAGTATTACCCGTATCCCCGAGCAGCACAATGAGTAGAGGCTGAAAGAAATATGACCACCAATATTTCGCTTCACGATACGCTCAGTTCGGTAGCGACCAAAGCGGCAATTGTACGCCCTATAACTTACATCCCGAATCAGCGTAAGAATAATGGGGGACAGGACAACATCCATTCACGCCCGCATATTACTCCTAAACTCTCAAAAGTGTGTGAACCCTAATACTATTGTTCAACTTTCAATACTATGTCCTCATTTAAAGAACATTAAAATTAAATATGAACTACCAGATAAAACTCAAGAATTATTAATAAATTTGGCATACTTTCTATCTGAATTAGAAATAGATAAAAATACATAAATGTGATCATTTCAAGTTGATTATTAATCTGAATATTATTTTAATATTATACAGCAATATAAATAAAAAATGTTAGTATTTTTTCGTCATATTATAATACAATACTTCCCTTTTTCAAATAATATTAGTAAAACTTAGTAATAGTCATATGATCGCTAATGACCATGTTGTTAATGCGACCTTAATAAATAAACCAATTAAAAAGGCGCCCCTAAAACCTAGCGCGTCGGTGAATAACGTAAACAGAACAGCAGGGCGGAGGGCAGACGGGTTATGAAACGAAATTTCGAAGCCGTGAAATGACTAAATCCGCGATAAAATTTCAGCAATTATATTGATGGCTCAAGTGCAACGTAAAAATTTGTCTGAAGGCTTGCTCTAAAACCAGGCAGGAGTCTTAATGATTTTCGCTTAACAGTCGCATTTCAATGGGCAGGTAAACTAAGGACCCGAGAGAATTTTTTGCCATGATATTTGCATAGGTTAGGAGTTGCTGGGTCTTTCTTTAGAACTTTAATAATAATAATAATAATAATAATAATAATAATGTCTTTATTTTTGAAGAGACTCAAACCGTAAGGGTGCTCTTCCATCTAACCACTTAAATATATACATTTACATAATTGCAATTCGACCAGAAATAATGATAACTGACATTTCAAGTTTCTCGTACCTACAAAATAGCAATGATCGTATTAACTAATGGAAATTTTGTGCATATAGTGTGAATGTATTTTCATTGTCAATTTCGTTGAACTCTACAGCTAATTTGATACGTAGAGAGCCTTTGTAGCTCATTTACAAGGGCGTGATAAATTATTAATTGTACTTCCATAAAATGTCAGTAGTCATCGCCTAGATCCGAATGCCTTTATTAAGAACAAATTGTAAAAACAAGACAGATTTTATGATTATATATTATTAGAATTTTTCTTAGTTATAGTTTCGTATTTCATCGATGTTTAAAAATATTGAAAACCCTCGCCTTGTGTAATCGTTTCGTGGAAATTGCGGCGTTGTCATACAGCCAGACCTGCTCGTAATCATGTTCAAGTTTATTTTTTGTATCGATCGATGTGAAAACGGTTGTGAAATAGTAGCAACAATGTGGAGCAATGCGGAGCAACTATTTCAAAATGGATCCTTGCGGGCAGGACCCCAAGTACATAAAATATTCAAAAGAGATTTACCTTCTCCGTGTCAAAAAATCTGAAAATATTTTAACACAAACATGCAGAAAATCGATCAATCGTAAAAAAGTGAAGATTGTCATCTTTACTATATATTCCATGGGTGTGGCTACAGAGTTCACTTTGACAAACCCCATTATAAAATTAACAAAATTTGAATACAAATATTATTGACGTAAAATTAAAACTTAATGCAATGTTATTCTATATTTTTATTCAAAATTTTGTTTGTTTATTATTCAGTCTGTCAAAGTGAAACCTGTGTAATAAAATTAGTAATTGTAAAATATTGCTTAATTAATACGCACTGAAGATCCCAAAAAACTGGTACACCTTCCTAATATCGTGTAGGGCTTCCGCGAGCACATAGAAGTACTTCAATACACCGTGTCGTGGGCTCTATTAATGTCTGAAGAAGTGCTGGAGGTAATTGACACCATGAATCCTGCACGACTGACCATAAACTCGTCGTAAGGATTCGTAAGGTTGTCGCCATACTCGTACACGTCCATCCGTTCGAAACAATATGAAACGAGACTCGTCAAACAAGGCAATGTATTTCCAGTCATCAACAGTCCACTGTCTGTGTTGACGGGCCCAGGCGGGGCGTAAAGCTGTGGACGT